CTTTATATGTCTCTTGTAGTGGTATGTAGTGGTCGGTTATTCGCTCTTATTCCCTCTGCGACTCCAGAAGATATTCCCAAGATGTAAGAGGCACATCGACCTTGCCAAATGTCCTCACCTAGATATTGCTTCACATTTCTTTCTTATGGGGCTTGGGTTGAACTTGTCTTAAACATAGTGTTATTGTTATGGCTGGCATCACATTGTTCTTGATGTCACCCCCACCATGTGCATATTCTTGCTTGGCCATTCGGTCACCTCAATTGGCTCGCTGTCACCGCAGCTACCGTAATCCTCCACACATGCATCTTCTAAAGCAGATGTGCCTTTGCAGGGTTTCTTTTCAGGTTGACCTTGTTTGGATGAGTATATACCCTGAGCCCCAAGCTCTGAGCCCCAGAGATTGCCATACATGTGTGTATATCATATCATCTATGCATACTACATGTTCACGCATATGTACCCATGTCTTACTTAACCTTAGATGATTCTCCTAAACCAAACCCCAAACCCCTAAACCCTACACCCTAAACCCCAAAACCCTGCCTGAACCCCTAAACGCTGAACCCTAAATCCAAAACCCCAAAACCCCAAAACCCTAAACCCCAAAACCCCAAAACCCTAAACCCCTAAACCCTTCCCTACAAGGGATACACCCCTACTTGGGGGGTCCAGAGGCAGAGACCAAGCCGGAGGCTGGCAAGAAGTACGCCCGGAGCCTGAGAGAAAGGGGGGAAAATTGGGCTTGAGGTTTAGGGTTTAGGGTTTAGGGTAAATGGTATATGGGGTTTAGGGTTTATGGTAAATGGTATATAGGGTCTAGGGTTTAGGGTTTAGGGTATAGGATTTAGGGTTTAGGGGGTCATATGGGCTAGATATAGGGGTGTTTGGGGCTTGAACAGGCTTTAAGGGTTCAGAGTTTATCTTTGAGTTTAGGACTTGTTGGGGTCAAGGTGTGCGGACTTGTAGGGTTAGGGTTGAGTTTAGGTCATTCCGCCCTACAGTTATAGCCTTCAAATATGGAGTTAATACGGCCATTATTCTGAGTGAGATTTACCCAAAGGGCAAGTTATTGTCATTGTTCTTGTCAGGCGTCAAACCCCAAACCTGTTTTAAGGCACCCATTCTTAGAGCTTGAGCTCTTTGCCAGGATGCCTAGATTTTCCTCGATCAAGTGGTAGTTGTTCAAGTTACATAATCATAAGGTTGTAGATAGGAATTTTATAAGCTTTCGGGTGGATATTAGCACAATGATGGAGAATGACATGAAAACTCCAATGGAAAATGACATGCAAATTGTTGTACAGGGAGATATGGCAGTTGTTTAACAAGGCCTGTTCCCAAAACGGCCAGAAGATAGGCTCCGTTTTTTGGTTAGGTTCCCCCCGTTGAGAAAGTGCATGACCAATGTTTTTGTCTTTGCGATAAGCCCTTAAGAGGACCCCCCACCCTGTAATAGTGGTATAGTAGGAATATAAGAGGACCCTGATATAATCTCTATTATCCCCTATAGTCACTATTACTGGGTGGGGGGTCCACCTAAGGTAACCCCTAGAACAACCCGTAAGAGCCGAGGTCTTCACTTGCGCTTTGCAAGGGTGTTTGTGAAGCTTCGAGTGGGGTGCGTCTTAAACTTATGGGCCGTTTCTGGCTATAGATGATGTTTCGGCACGTAATATTGATGGGTGCCAACATAGTTCCCTAGTTTTGGGAACTTCCCAATTTTTCGGCGCAGCATGCCAGGAGACTTCTTGAGGCTTTGAGGCCTTTTCTGAAGAGAGTGGGATGTCCCCCTGTTTTGCAACCAGACCTGTCTCCAAACGACTCCCTCAATCAAGGCCATTGTTCCGGCTTTCAAAGGGCTCAAAAGGTGGGATGAAGGAAGGCGGGGTATAGGAAATAATCCCCAATATAGTAGAGAATATACTAGGGGTCCTTTAACCCGCCTACCTTCATGACACCTTTTGAGCCCCCTGATGCTTCAGCAGACAATTTTCAGCCTGAAGGTAGAGACCATCTCCGACCAGCGCCTGTTCGAGCAGGTCTGCCGTCGCAAAAGCTTTTTCAACAAGAGTCCGCAGCCATCCTGGGCTGGTAATATAGTATTATGGGGTATAGTAAGTTTTGGGGAATCATGGGGTTATATAGGAATAATGGAAGAGAAAATGGAAACTACTATTTAGGGTTTAGGCTTTAGGGTTTAGGGGGACCCCTGATTAATAACCCCCTTCAGTTTAAGGGCCTTAATACTAGGATCCTTATTATCATCCCTATTAAGTAGAGGGGGTTTATTAATCAGGGGTCTGGGTTAGGCCACACTTGCAGGATTGGTTGCACAGAATTCCAAGAATGTGAGGCTTCGACTTAGATGTTATCTACCCCAAAAGCTTTTGGGGAAACATTGCAATGCGCAAGCCCAGAAGTGCATGAGTACTCTGTAGCTTCGGATCCAGGGTGGAGATTGGATATGGGCCACAGTCTAAACTCCTTAAAGAGGGTTATATACGGGATTAGATTGGAGAGTAGTATAGGGGTTATCAGGAGTTTAGGGAGTTTAGACTATAGCTTATATGGGTGGTGGCCTGGAAGTTGCTCCATAGTGAGATTCCAGGACAGGTTTCTAGATGCGTGGGTGGTCTATAATTAGCCTGCGGGTGTGTAGCAAAGAATGAAGGATCGGATGTATAGTAGTCCGAACACAACCATCCGTATGTTCCATTATTCCATTCTCTTATTCCCTTCTAACTTGCTTACTGGGGTTGAGAAGAGAATAAGGGAATGTAATCCTCATATAGCCCCATATACTGCATTCCCTTATTCCTGACTAACCCCAAGTAAGCATGGGGGTAGGGGGGCTGAGGTTTCAGGGCTGGATGATTGAGGCGGTGGTTTGCAGGCAGCTCAAGACGTCTGTTGTTCGTCACACGGGCACAGGCAAAGCTTACATAACCACGACTTGACAAAAATCTTGCCTCAAGCAACTGAAGTCTTGCTTCAGACTTTTGGAGCTTAAACCCTAAACCCTAAATAGTAGTTTCCATTTTCTTTTCCATTATCCCTGTATAAACCCTATAGAACCCTAATATAACCTTTAAAACCTAAGCCCCTTGGTCTCTGTCCCTCTTTGGGGTGCCAGGTGTACCTGCAGTACACGTCTGAGTACCTGAAGGGACCTCTGTACTGGCACCCCAACAAGCTGCACCCTGGCTGCACCAGAGCATTCCCAAAAATTCCACCCTTGGTTTCACTTCGGGTCACCCATCCCGAAAAGACACTAGCTTTTGTGAGTATGGTGTAGAGGTTTCTATCTAGGGTTTCGTGGCATGTTGTAGCATGTCTCTTCCTCTTTTAGAGCTTCTGGCTAGATCCGAGTCAAGATTCAGAATCTCAAGTTGAGGGCTTGCTGTTTTGGGGATTTAGCGTTTACTTCTCAGTTTCGTGGTTCATAGGGTTTCTGTGATTTTCATGAAAGAAGTCAACAGAGTGGAGGTTACTTTGCAAAGGAAGCCTCCACGACATAGATACATTAACAGTCTCTGCTTTTGTCCATGGCAAACTCAGCCTAGCAGAATTGAGCATGCGACCTGGAAATGCCTCTTTGCACCACCTTTCTGTTTGTAGTCTCTGACAGGCTTTCGCACTGGACCGGTGCAGTTTGGAGAGGAAGAGCGACAGAGGGTATCAAAGTAGCCCAACCAATTTTGTATAGTATTCGGTATGGCTTTGGCCTGATTCCGGGGCTCACCGCTGCGCCAACCCTACCCGACAGCAGCATGGAGCCTCATTATGCAGCCTTCGTTCTATTGTAATCTCCTTAGGAAGTATGCCTCATTTGAGTTCTAGTATAACCCTAGAGAATTATTAAGAACACAATTTTCATCGGTCTAGGGCAATTACACTCTGCAGAACGGCAGTTTTTGCAGGGTTCCTGAGGTTGTATGCTGTTCTGCCCAGGGTAGCTAGTTTCCACTTCATAGAAGCTGGCGGAGCGACCAGTTACAATCAACAGTTCCAGTATTGAATGAGAAATAGATCCCTAAAAATTACTCTCGTATGGCTCCACCATATCCCATCCACGAACCTGTGTAGTCCCCTAGGGTTTCTCAAAACGGTAGGTAGTAACCCTGAACTCCTTGATGCAACCCATCAATGTGCCCAATGACTTTCCATAGGTAAAGTCGAACGCGGATGAGATATTCTTTCAACTACCTAGAGGTTCACCGTAACTATAACCAAATTATGACCGTACTTGTAGCCCACCTTGAAGCCCCTAAGTCCCTTAATATGGCTAAAATGGAGTTGTAGGTACCAGTTACAGCTGGGTTATTCTTGCCCTCAGCCTCCAAGTACTGTATGTAATGCTCGAGCCAAGCCGTCCTAACAAGACCAAAAAAAAGCCAAGGATGCAGAAGCCTCCTTGTGACACCCTAAATGGGGGATTCCCAAAATTAGGGGTACCTTTTTGGGGGTCCCCATAATAAGGACTATAGTATTTTAGGGTCTATATTGGGGTCCCCCTATTTTGGAGAATTACCAAATCCTTTAAATCCTAAGCCGGACTCCGTAAACTCTGCGCAGCCTTCGTCTAATTCCGCAAACCCTACATGCCTTGTGCAGCCGTGGCCCTATGCACACCCTGAAACTAAATCCCCTTAGAGAAATAAAGGGTTTTGATTGATTATGAATACGGTGGTCCTCGACACCTTTTTTGTTTGAAAAATGGTCAGCACTCAAAATTGGCTTCACTTTGGTTCATTCACGCCCCTATAATCCTTGCAAACCCCTGTATATCCCAGTTTTTATTTCCTCTTCAACTTTTCGTTGCATTTGATTGTCCATTGTTGCTGTAATGTTCCTTATACACGCCCATATAACTTTGTATAACCATGTATAGCCTCCCAAAGCCTTCACCCTCGACCGCTGGGTTAGACACTAAACCCTAAACGCCTGCAATACGAATCCTCAGGCAAGGCTGGCTCCCGGACTACCCCGGAACCCCGATGATCAAGGAGGGCAAGTACACCAGCCACGCCGGGGGCTCCGGGGGTTTTAGGGCTTTGGGATTTAGTGGGTTAGGGGTGTACTGTTGTGGGATTTAGTAGAACAAAAGAGTGAGAACCGGGATTGTGTAGGATGCTTTCAGGTTTATGTTGGGACGCACATAGGTTCAGAAAGTGTAGCCGCCTTCCCGAAATCCTGTAGTTGTTCCCTTCTAATATTCTTTTTCTGATTTGTAATAGTACTCCTGCTCCTGCTCCTGCTCCT